TTTTTTTTTTTTTTTCGGTTTTTGGTTATTTTTTCGCATGTTTCAGTTCCGGTTCACAGTTCCTTACCAAATGTATGCATATTAATCGAGGAACCGATTATATATGTGAAATTATGCATGTTTTATATGTTTATATGTATGAATCGGTTTCGGTTCTTGTACTTAATATTCGGCTATTCAGTTCCGGTTCGCAGTTCCTTACCAAATGTATGCATATTAATCGAGGAACCGATTATATATGTGAAAATATGCATGTTTTATATGTTTATATGTATGAATCGGTTTCGGTTCTTGTACTTAATATTCGGTTATTCATTTTTGCATTCGGTTCTCGGTTTTTCATGATATTTTTACTCTGTGAGTTGTATTTTTTGGACCGGTTCTTAACTCAAAACCGGTTATTGTAGGTTATTTTTTATTATTCGGTTACCCGAATAACCGGAAAAACCGAACCATTAAAAACCGGTTCGGTTCTTTTTTTGTTCTTGCAATTTTTATGTGTTAACCGAACCGGTTTTTTTTTTGTTTGGTTCCGGTTCCGGTTCCTGAAAAAAATGATAAGAACCGGACCGGTCCCAGGCCTATTATAGTCACACAATACTGCGAAATTAGAACGTGTTTTACTTATCAAAATTGACGTGCGGCTGTACACGTCCCTTATCGATTGGCTTTTTAGAGACACGCAAAAACGCCGTATGATATTTTTAAGTTGGTAAGGTGATATTAAAAGCATTATAAAAAAGTGCGGATTCACCTTTACATTTTCTGAATTTCACCTATTTGTAGAGAATCATGGGCTTATTGAACAAGCTTTGTCCTGCGCGACTGCCCGCCCGGGTGCCTGCATTGTCCAAGGGCTGCATGTCACTTATAGGCTACTCGTAGGTATGTTTGTCAATTGTTTAGCTTACTTCTCATTCGTCAGATCATCTATCGCTTTTGTTTAGACCCCCATACATGTCCTTTGTCAGCAGCTTGGCCTCGGCCTACCGTGTTGATCATCTATTTCATGCTTGCGATTTACCTGTTATCATATTCGAGTTGTCATATGACCGAGCTACAAGCACATCTAAGTTATGCGAGCTATTTAATGATCGAGCTACCAGCACATCTAAGTTGTCCAAGCTCCTTAATGTTCGAGCTACAGGCACACCTAAGTTGTCCGAGCTCCTTAATGAATTGTAATAAACTTACTATCCGCGTTATCCCCTATGTCCGAGCAAGAGACGTGCTCTAGCTATCCGAGCTACCTGAGCCATCGTACTCTTACACCAGACGAATGGGTATGTTGTGGTGGAGGTGGAGGTGATTTTACTGGCGGCGGTTGAGAATGGTCGAGTTGTGGTCGAAAGTGGACGAGTGGTGGTGGAGGAGGTGATTGTATTGATGGTGGCGAAGAATGGACGGGTTGTGGAGGAGGTGATTGTACTAATGGTGGTAGAGAGTGGACGTGGCAGAGATGGCGGTGATTGGACTAGTGGTGCTGGAGAGAAAACACGAGTGGGTGGCAGTGGGGCAACTTGTGGTGGAGTCGACTTGTGGGTCCCATCAATAGTTGGCGGAAAAGCAACCGCATGAGAAGCATTTGACATTTGTTTTTGTGAAGGTGAAGGTTTGATTGGGTGGGGCGAAGGTTTAGGCTCTTGACTCGGCTCATACTTTGGCGCCTCCACCAAAGCCCTTCTTAGGGGCTTGGGCTTCGATGCTCCCCCACTCGTGGGCATTCTGCATCCAGTAGCTTCACAGTCCACCTTCTCGCTCAAAATCGTTCGACATTCTTGTCCCAACCTTTGCTTCTTCTCCCGTGCGAGAAACAATTCTCTTTATCCACGACCAAGAGCCTACTCACCGCATTGGAATAGCAAGCTTGGTCCTTGGCATCAATATAGTCGTACGAAAATGTAAAGTTCTTGAGGCTCGGAAGGGTACTTTGTCCGGAACATCACTCCTAAACTTGTTCTTGGTAATGTTCCCGATGCTTCTCGGGACACCCCAATTAGCTTGTTGTTCGCCAGCACGAGCACCGAGGTCGTCGAATTCCCAAAGTTTTCCGTGGCCGATACAACCTTTTGCTGTTGAGGAATATGGCGTCGGGCAGCTTTTCAAACATCTTGATGGGAAGAGGCCCCTCGAAGTCATTGAACCAGAGGTCGAGGTACCCGAGCTCGGGTAGACCGAGAACCTCCTTCGGGAAGTGCCTCACAAGGCAATTGATTTTTAGGAGCTCGCACAACAGCTTTAGCTTGGAGACGGAATCGGACATGACTCCACAAAAGCGATTGGAATTGAGTTGGCGGTGGTGAGTTTTAGTCGTGGGAGCATCAAGATAAGTAGGAGAAGGTAACAATCATGAGGCTTCGTTTCACGAGGGTTTGTTGCCATGCCGAACCCCCTAAGGCAATCCCAAGGTTGCTTACAGTATATCTACTTAAACATTTTTCACTATTGTATATCGCTTTAGGCATTTTTTACTCCAATACTTGATTGACCTCAATACACAATACACATGTAGCAACTTTATTTACCATGTCACACATTTTTTTTTTGGCACTCTAAAACATAATAGGAAAGCTAATACAAAAAACTCACCCTACATTCTAATCTGCCCTCATTAAGCTAAAGACCATACTTAAACCAACCCATAGCATCTAACCACACTCCATTCACATATATACATTATGAACTCGTGGATTGATCTCAATCTGTCTCGTGATCCGGTCGAGGGGTGTACCAAGCGGGATATCGTCCCTTGGCTCTAAGCAGTATCGTGAAGGGCGAATCCGGCATTTTAGCCTCCTCTTCCTCCTTAATCTCCTCTTCTGTTTTCGGCAACCCATCGGGAATCGGGCACCGCCTTTGTTCTGTGCTCTCGATTTTCACCTGACTCACTGTATCAATCTTCACCCGATTCCCTGGATTGTTGCCTTCCTTCTTCGCCCTCTTGTAAATGGCCGAGACTCCGTGAATGTAGCTAATCAGCGTTTTCATTCCACCTGCTTCGATTGCCCTGATTATCAGTCTCTCCACATCATCCTTGGGCATCTCTTTCTGAAAACAAAATTGCAACAACCGATATTAAAATTTTGCCTTTCTATGTACCTTTTTTCACATCATTTGAACTTGACAATATATACATATGGCTATGTTTGATTTCGTAAAACTAATAGCTGATAGTTGTTTGATGAGTGTTTTTCGAGTTTACGACTTATAGCTGAAAAAACTAGCTTATTAAAGTGTTTGATAAAATTAGCTAAAATAAAATTTCAAACCAGCTTATTTGAAAAGTAGAAGCTCACGAGATAAACTCGATCTTTTCAAAAAAAACTTGTCCTACCAAACGAAGTTTGTTTGAATACAAGAAGCTTAAAAGTTAACTATATAAGCTATAAGCTAGCTTATTTGGTTACCAAACATAGCCTATAACATGTTAAAATTCATGAACTCGAGTTAAAAACGACTCACTTCAAGATCTTGGAGTTCGAAATAAGCCATCCAGCAGTCGTAGCATTCGTCTCCTTCAAGCTTCAAACAATAATCTGAAAACCACATGAGAAAAAACCAGTTATTAGTTATTATTACTACTCTTGATCCAATCAAATCAAGATTAGACCAACTGTTAGTTCCTAAAGATCATCAACCTACTGCACACAATCTGCAAATCAAGCACCTTTTGTAAGATTACTGAAAATCAGATATTGAACTGCTGTATAAAAAGCTGCTTAAAAGACACATAAACACTTCAATTCTGTAAGGTAAGATCATTATTATTTTCCTCAACTGGCAGAGATTACACTATTTCGACAATCATACACACAGATTCTTGAACGATGCAGCCTAACCGTTAGGCGGGTCGACCCGTCATACATTTATAACAAAAATCCTTCCATTTGTCCTCAATTTCCTTTCTTCAAAAGAGCAAAATTACACTAGAAACCTAACACAAAAGTTACACAAAAAGAAAAGCACCAATCCTAAGCAAGAATATACCCAAAAAAACAAGAAACAAATCGAAAAACCCCCCCCCAAAAAAAAAAGAAGCAAGAACTCACCGGTGATTTCATTTCCGGTTTTTTCAATCAAAGGCCGCTGGTTTAGAGCGATATCGAACTTGCTCCGGTCGAAAGGCTCCAGCTTTGGTATGTACGCGTTTTTCCTCGAAAAAGAACCGCAAACGGTTGAAGCCCACGAAGCGGTTCTTGACGAGGACGACTTCGAACACTGTGTGTAGCTGAAAGCCGACGAATTTAACGGCGGCGCCGCCCGTATCATCTTCTTCGTTAGGATTATTCAGATGGGTTTTTTTTTTTATCGGATTAGTTTTTGATGTGTGTGCGCCTCTAAATTGGGTCGATTAATTAAGAAGTTTTTATAGGCACTTCTGAATTGGATTGGATTGGATTGGATTGGATTGGATTGGGATAAGGATGAAGATATTTTTTTTATGGCTTTTTTGGTTTGCGATAGATTCAAATGGTGGGCCAAAAACAACGAGCGTTTTCTCAAAAAGTGGAAAAGGGAGACGATGAGAGGTGGGGTTCCGAGAAGATAGAACAAAATTTACGTGGCATACATAAATTTATGGATGACTCGTACATAAAAACGGAACCATTATGGATGGCTAATCCGTTACTGATACATATTCTGCAATAAATAACACATTGAATATATATCAATACATAACATTATGGATGACTCTATAAGAGAGTCATCATCTGATTTCTCCATAAATTTATCAGTTTTGCTACGGAGCCATCAGATGGCTCGACTTATGGAGCTATCCATAGTTATCATCAAATAGTGTATTGACACGTGTCCTACAATAAATAAACTTTGAACACGTGTCATATATTAAGTGATGGATAACTCCATAAGAAATCAATAAGATGAAATTTAATTTAATCCATAGAGAAGATAACAAAATAAAAAACATTGTAGTTGTTATTATATAATATTAAAGCAAATTGAATGGAAAATATACAATTTTAATGTGATAATTTTGTTGTTTTTCCTTTTCATCTATTGACTTTGTGTTTGGATTGCAATGTAGTTCAATAAAATTGATCACAGAGTACAAAACCAGGAAAAAAATGAGGAAATTTACTGATAGAAAAGGCAAACTGAACAAAAGCTATCACTAATTTTGTAAGGCCTCGTTTATTAGCCTTGATATGATGGCCCATCATCTCTAGTAAACGAGGCCTAAAGATACAAAAATCACAATTTAACCATCAGATCAACAAAAAAAGAAAAAAAAATATACAATTTTCACCATATTGTCTCTTGAAAGCAAGAAATCAAATCAGCCAGCAACTGCTTCGTGTCTCATATTACACTGAGATGTAATGCTTAACCAGAAAAAAGCCTTTCATGAAAAAAAATAAACAAAAATGATGCAACATTTTTATTTTTTTCAAAACAGGCCGTTAAACGGGTTCGTAAGAGAACTTTTTAGATCCGAGTAAAGAGCGTATAGCGAATACTGCCTGAGATTAGCCACCTCGTACCAAGAGTTTAGCACATTCTCGTTTTTGTCCGTACCAGAAAAGGCCAACTGTATGCCCACGTCACACCCGATCGAACCACCGTTTTGTTTGCAGTTCGAATTTCGGACTGCACAATCGGTGTTGTTGAGGCACACGAACGAGCCCCCGCTGCAAGACCCGCACCCGAACTTTTTCCAGAACAAGTTTTCGAGTGTACCTTTTTGAAATTCAAGAACCTACAAAAACTCGGGTTTAACTACACAGTCTCCTAGGGTTTTGTCTTATGACATTTAGCATTGTATTACGTTGATTTTACAAAACACCCTGTAACTTTTGAAAAAAAACTGGGATTGTCTTATGAGATTTAGTACTGCTGTATTGTGTTGAGTTCACAAAAACAAAAGAAAAAAAAAAACATTGAATTTTGGTCTTTCCACCGGGAAAAATTGGTCAATGTGATCGACTTGCTGAGCCGACTATCTCAACAAGCCGATCACATTGACAAGCTTTTCTCGGTGGAAGACCAAAATTAAGGGGTTTTTTTTTTTTTTTTTTTCTAGTTACAAAGTGTTTTGTAAAATTAACGTAATCTGATATCAGTTTTGGACTAAATCCCCGATTTTTTCCTTTTGTCTTACATTTAAATCCTTCCACATGAAGGAAAACTTGATTTCGAAAAATATCTATGGTTTAGCTCCTTAAATATGCGACTATATATTGTTCCGAAAAAATCAAAAACCAATAACATGCTCGATTTTTTACCAGGGTAAAGCTCGTTACAGTGTGAGTGTTGTCAGCAACAAACACGGCTGGCGAACGAGCCGCGTATCGTCGTCCGGCAAATGCCACCATGTAGCCACCGGATTTGCTCTGGCAAACATTTGAAATTTCATTCATAATTCAAGCACTTGAAAAAAAAATCCAATCATAATTCAATTTTAGAAAAATCAAATTCTGCTCAAAATCTCACCCTCTACACCTTATTCGAAAAAAAATAATCACCCTTTCTAATTATTGCTATCAACTTCTGATTCACGACGAGTTTTTTACTACTCCGGCTAGTTACAATATATTGTTTTCAATAAAAAAGTAGCGATATCGAGCGAAACAAGCAAACCGAGCTTACAGGATCAAATGTGGAGCTATTGACGGTGAGGAGCGAAATCTCATCGACTTTCGGCCTAAACACCGCCAGCTGGGCACCATTTCCCGCCAGGGATAAACGCTTATCACACGGCGAAAGTTGAGTTTGGTTGAAGAAAAACGAGTCTTTAGACGAAAATGCAAGCCCGAATGTAAAACCGTCCGATTTTCGAACCTTTGCATCCGAACACGGATCGAAAACGTGATTCGTGTCCTCGGCATTAGCCAAAAATACCACCATTACAATTAGAAAAACACCCTGCCTCATTATTGTAGATGAATTCATCAAAACACAAGTTTCTTGGCGCCTTTTTTCCTGATATTATGATATTGCTAATCAAATTTCAGACAAATAATCATTTAACTAACAAGTATTAGCCAAGAAATGGAAATAAAAAAAAAAAAAAAAAAAAAANNNNCAATGAAATTTGCTGATATTCATGATAATATGATTTCAATAAAAAAAAAATGCATGAAACAAAAAAAAAAAAAATATATATCAACAATAATTATGAATAATTTACTTACTGGAATTGGATTTATACAAAATTTTCTTGAAACAATCTGTACGAATTCTCTTGAATTTCCCTGTTTAAAATGTAAATAAAAAATTAACAATATAAATAAATCAGAGAAATTGTGAGAAACGTGAAGGTGGTTCTTCGTGTGGATCAACAAATAACGTAAAATTGATGTAAAGTTGAAAACTTTGGTATCTCTTTTTTCAAGATTTTTTAAGGGTAACAATAAAAATAAAAATCTTCTTCCTTAAGAAAAGGCAGCGAGAAAATTATTAATGTTTTTAAATATTTTTATTAATAAGTTTAATGGAAATGGTACACTCTGGTTACGGAATCATTCTGTCGAGATTTGTAACCGTTAAATTATCATGTAATCGTCGTGGATAATTGATCTCACGGTTTAAAAGTGTAACCGACAGAATTGTTCCGTAACGGGAACGTATAATTTCCCACAACCAAGTGTTACATAGAAAAAAATATTAACATAAAAAAAATAATAATGTGAATGGCTCAAGCGGGTGCATCGTGTTCGGAAAACGGTTATGCAATAAGAAAAAAAATGCAGGCTTGCTCTTTAATGGGCTAACACCTTTCGTGATCCATTATTATGAAAGCCCAAGTCAAGTTTTTGGGCCTGCTAGTTTAACCCACACATTTATATTTGGTAAAAATGACTGTCTTACAAATCTCATTTAATTTGCTCATTTTTTATCTTACGTCTTTTACGAAGTAACTGGCTCATGTTATTTATGGCTTTATTTAAATTTGATTTAGGTAAAAAAAATTAATATATATATATATATAATAATGAGAGTAATTAGTGAAATATTTAAATCTCAATTTCATAATTAATTTAACAAATTAAATACTCTTACAATAAAATGAACCGAATAGAAACTTGACAACATTTCATTCGTAAATTCGATCTTCAGTGTTTGTATTTATTTGAAAAAAAAAAAATCTCTAGTCCTACATAGGATTGAGCCTTTTGTATCATAATTCTTATCCAATGTAAATAAATTATAACTAAGTATAGTCAATATAGATGTTTTTATTTTAAAATTTTTTTATCATATATATTTGATTACACGTTTGTTTTGGACTCAACTTCCAATATTACATTGGACTAATTAAATATGACTTTTTTTTTGGCTATGTTTGGTAAAACTTGTGACTTATATGTAATTCTTGAGCTTATAACTTACTTATTGTTAAAAAATTAACTTATATAATAAAAGTGGTTGGATTTATCATATTTAAGCTAGCTTTTCAACTATAAGTCACAAGTTATAAGTTATAAGCTCGAAAATTACTGATAAACTATATGCTAGTTTATTAGTCATCACCTAGTTTAGTTTTACCAAACATAGCCTATATATGTAGTTTTTTAGCTTATATCTTATGACTTATAGCTGAAAAACTAGCTTATATGATAAATTGTTTAATAAAATTAGCTGATAAGCTAGCTGGAATAAAAAAATTCAACTACCTTATTAGAGCTACTTAAAGAAGCTTATCAAATAAGCTCGAATTTTTTAAAAAAACTCGTCCACCAGACGAGACTTATTTGAATACAGATAGCTTATAAGCTAACCAAATAAGCTATAAAGCTAGCTTATCCGGCTTACCAAACTGAGATTGCATTAATCACAACAAAGCTCCATTATTAAAGGTAAAATTTGAGAATTTTTTAGATTTATTTTATAATCCTTGCAACTCATTTGAATTTATTTTGGCAATAGACCACATCCCTGCAATTCTGTTTACAGCTGCAAGAAAATTGCTCTCTGAGGTATTTTGAATTGACTGCCTACCAAACCTATAGTCATTTATATGATATAGTAAATTAGAAATAGAACACCATGTCTAACCGTTAGTCGTTCGTATTTTTCCAACAAATATGCAAATTTTCAAACTTAAAACATTACACTTAAAAAATATAAACAATAATATAACATTCCGTAGCATAAATATGCATTTTTGTTAAAAATATACAATGAGTTGACGACGCCTAACTATTAAGTCGCCTCATACAGGAATTTGCGATACCGCATTCAATTAATAGTAAATAATCATTTCATTGCAAATTAAAGGATCTTTATATATGAAATGATTAATCATTTTTCCTGTTTTGAGCTATATTATTCTCTTAACACTAGTCTTTATGCAGAATTTTCTTTCCCCATTTATGGTCAGAAAAATAAAATAAAATAAAATAAAAAAAATAATAAACGAGGTGCATTGCAGCTTTATCTTTTTTTTTTCCCATTTTGATTGATTAATTAATTTTTTCATGCAAAAATATTTTCCTCAATTTTGGCAATTATAAAACGACATCTAATTTCTTCATCAACTTATATAATTTGTATAAGTAAAGTGCAATTTGTAACTCAAATTTGTTCATTGTGAACTCATTATCCTTAGGCATTGAAGTGAAAATGGCAGAACACAAGCTTGAGAAGAACAATTTGGAAAAACCAGACAAAAGGCCATGCTTCTACAAGATCATATGGCTAACCAATCGCACGAATTTGGTACTTTTTCGAACGCAAAAATTTTCACTTTTTTTATCTAGAAAAGTTTCAAGAAAACTTACACGATTCGAAAAAACTTGCAGAAGATCCCGCCTAGATTCGAACGCCATCTACCAACGGACGTCGAAAAACTCAAAACCGCAACACTAAAGACTCCCGGTGGGAATTGGAAAGTAAAACTCGTGCGACAACCGGACGGCATATATTTCACGAGTGGCTGGAAGAAGTTCGTGAGATGCCACTCGCTGGGCCATGCCGAGTTCTTGATCTTCAAATACAACGGTAGTCTATCCTTTGATGTGGTGTTTTACGACCCAAATGGGTGCAGAAGAAACTATGGGCCGGGCCTTGGTGTTGCACCGGACCAAAGGCCCGCATCTCTAGCTGGTCAAGCCGAACACAATGAAGATCCACAGTTTTAGGCGCCACTTATTATGTTGTGTGTGCTTTTTCTTGAACACAATGTGTAAGCAACGAAACGCCCCAACTTTTTTTTTTTTTTTTTTTTTTCTTGTATATAATTCCGAGTTAACAAGAAAATTTATCTACAAAAAGCCTGTAAACCGAGTCACTAAATGAACGAGCCTGAAATCGAGTTCGAGCTCGGCTCGTTCATCACTAATAATGAGCCGAGTTCGACTTAACGAGTTGATCTCGAGCTTTAACAAGCTGAACTATAAAATATATAACAAAAATTCTTTTTTTTGATCCTTAACGAGCCTCATCGGCTCGTTTTGTTAACCATATGAGCTTTAAACGAGCTCGAGTTTGGCTCGTTTATCAAACGAGCCAAGCCGAGCAGGCTTGTTTAATTAATAGCTCTAATCTTCTAACTCGTTTATCAAACGAGTCGAGCCGAACTCGAGCCGAGCCAAGCAAGACTCGTTTAATTAATAGCACTAATCATTCACCACCAGTCCCCACACGAGCATTTGCCGTCTTTAAAAATATGAAACCGATTAGCATCCTTTATGGCCAAAACTCGATCGTAAACTTTCGAGACGAACTTACTCGCCGCATGACAATCGTTGCATATACGCAAGTTTTTTGTAATCCTTATAACCGACTCGGGCTTCGTTCTCAAAAGCCCGAAAGCGATAGCCAGCTTCTCACTGTGGTGAAACAGAATATCTCTCTTCACATCATCCGACACGTCCAAGAAGACCGAGTTTTTTAAATCGAATTCAAACCCGGCAGCTCCTATTTTCGAAATCAAATCGCCAAGAAACTCCTTAATCTCTAGGTAAAAGGGATGGTCCGTTTGGCTCGCCATGAACGTAAAAATCTCACCTGTGATCTCGATCGAGCTAATTCCGGGCCTCTTTTTCAGGTCGCTCGATTTCAAATATTTTCTACTCGTTCTTGCGTATTCCCAGTTTCCCGCCAAAGCATACACATTCGAGAGCAATACATAGTGACCCGCATCGACGGGCTTCAACTGAAAAAGCTGCCGAGAAATTTCATCTCCCAGCTCGAATTTCCTGTGGGCCCTACAGGCGGCCAGCAGCGAACAGTAAACCTCGGGGCTCGGCTGCTGGTTCATTCTCTTTACAAGTGAATACGCATCGTTTATTCGGCCAGCTCGGCCAAGAAGATCCACAACACATGCATAGTGCTTTGCATTCAGAATCACGTTCCGATTTTCCATCATGCAATCGAAAATTTCGAGCCCGATATCCACAAGGCCCGCGTGACTACAAGCACACAAAACCGAGACGAAAGTCGACTCGTCCGGTTTTATCCCTAAAAATTTCATCTTTGAAAATAGCTCGACGGCTTTTACTCCACACCCATACGAACCATAACCGGATATTAGTGCGTTCCAGCAAGCCACATCCTTTTCACCCATCCACTCGAAATATCTTTCTCCATCTCTTATGCTCGCACAATTAGTGTACATGTCGATTATAGCCGACCCAATAAAAAAATCACCTTGAAAACCAGATTTCATCACGAGGGCATGTATGCATCTACCCTGCTGCAAAGCACCTGATGAACTGCAACCTGAAAGAATAGTTGCTAAAGAAATCGAATCGAACTTAATATCATCTCCTCTCATCATTCTAATAAAATGGTCAAATGTTTTTTTCCAATTGCCACTCTCTGCCAACCCTCTCAGCATCAAAGTCCAGCTAACCAAGTCCCTTTTATTGATCTCTCCAAATATAATATAAGCATCATCAAGAAAACCACAATCTATATACAGCTCCATTAAAGCCGTTTTAACCAGTCGGTCGTTTTCATAATATCCACTTTTAACTATCAACCCATGGACTCCACTCCCTACTCGAAACTCCCCTAAACTAATTAAGCTCATAAGCGTAAATATATCGATCGAAAAACCCTTCATCCTCATCCTACTGAACACCAATAACGCATCCTCCCCAAATTCATTCTCCGCATAACACGAAATCATTGCATTCCACGACACCACATTTCTCACGGACATTTTGTCGAACACTTTCCGTGCCTTTTCCACGCATCCGAATTTCGAGTACATACCGATCAAACCCGTCTCCACAAACACATTATCCCCAAAACTCTGTCTCAACCAATAACAATGCACGGATTTCCCAAACAGAAAGAACCCCAATTTTCCAAATGCCGGCAAAACGCTCGCGATTGTTACCGCATTCGGCTTGATCATCCCTCGAACCATCTCGCGGAAAATGTCGATGGCTTCCAAAAAGAGGCCATTTTTCACGAGCCCGGATAGCAAAACTGTCCAAGAAAACAGATTTTTGTTCGGGATTTTCGAGAAAACGATCCGGGCTTCGGGCACATGTCCGCAGGAAGCGTAAGCGTTGACCAGCCTGTTGCAGAGGAAGACATCTTTGGAGAGATTGGAGACGATTAGCTGGGCGTGAACTTGGTGAATGGGCTTCGCGTGTTTCAGTTGGGGGAGGATCGAAGCGTGTGAGAGCTTTGTAGAGTAAAAACACGCAGTGTGTTGTGTATTAGTAGAAATTTTGAAGTTCGGAGAAAATGGCGGTTTTCGGCGCCAGCGATAATGGTGCGGCGCCGTGGAGAGGCGGTTCATTCTACAGTCACCAGGTTTTGTTATTCAAATCTTTGGGTGTTTTTAAATGTGGGTATGTGCGTAAGAACAAAAAATTAGCTGGATAAAAATGGAGGTGCGGGGAATCGAACCCCGTGCCTCTCGCATGCGAAGCGAGCGCTCTACCATATGAGCTACACCCCCTTGTTGATTTTTTTTCACAGTTCATTTAGGGGTCGTTTACTTTGAGGGAATGGGATAGGATAAGCGAAATAATCCCGGCTATCCCGCGTTTACTCCGCGGGAGTGGGATAGGCTTAATCTGATTTGGCGTCTACGTGGCAGGCTTTAATCGGTGAAATTCGGACAAAAAAAACCCGCCACCCACCTGTGACAATTTAATCCCATTTTTATCATACCTATTTTGCCCTCAGTTTTTTGTGTAAACTGACCAAAATACCCCTTATTTTCACTGAAATAACAATTTTAGTACAGATAAAAGTGGAAAAATCCGTCGGTTGCCCTAGCTGCAGAAAGCACATTGCGACGCCATTGTTCATCGTAGAGAAGCTTCTGAATCGAAAGGTGAGCTCCTTTTTTGTTGCTCCTTTCATTTTCATTTTCGGTTTCATTCGATTTGTCGCAAACTTCGAAGAACACCACAATTGTTGACGAGCAATTTGACCTAGATTCTTCAGACACGAAGACAAGCAAAGAAGCCCTAGCCTCGGATTCTCCGTCGCATCTACATGTGAGCTCCAGACTCGCCCTTTTACCTCTTCAATTTCGATTCACACTTCGTCCCTCGATTTGAAAATGTGTCTTATCTGGGCTTGGTTGTTTCTGTCGTCTATTTTGTATGGGTTTTAGTCTGGCAGATTATAATTCGAAAACGAGTAGCTGGATTGTTACTTCTTACCAAATGAATCAAGCTCAATGTTCAAGTTTTATTAACGAGATAAAGTTTCTGCATTTTGTTCCTTGTTTTAATGAATCTAGCTCAAACAATGTGTGTGTACTGGGTTTGGAGCTTTTGGTCGCCCCACCATTTTATTGTATCGATTGGTCATTTGTTTGTGTAGGAGGCATTTACTGTGTTATCTGGTGAGATATTAGTTCATTGTGATTTGCTTAATTTGTTCACTGTGTTTGTTACCATGTAATATTTAATTTAGTTCACAGCTACAAGCAATAAAAAAAGGATGGCATAAAAAATTGAACGAAGTCAGTCACAGGTATAAGGTGGTCTGCTTAAGGGCCTTCTGTGTAGTATTATATGATTTTTGACTACATTCTATTGTACTAGTAATTGAACCTTCATTATGCTTTACTTCTTGTTAAAAATCTTGCATCCATTGTTATATGTTTATGTTGAGAAATATGCAGTGTTATGTGGTCAGCTGTATAATTTTTCATATGAGTTCACCTGTATAATTTGTCATCTGGTGTACATATGATCTGCTCTTCACTACTTTATGTCACTGAATTTCCAGTTGGCAAGTAGCTGTGAGCATTACACCTTGTTAAAAATCTTGCATCCATTGGTTATATGTTTATGTGGATAGATATGCAGTGTTATGTGGTTCATGTATTTGTGTTGGTTGTGGTACATTCTTTTCTACTCTTTCGGCTGTATAATTTGTCATGTGAGTTCAGTTGTAATTTGATTTGTTTGTTTGAATTGTGTTTGTTATGTTACTGATATGAGCATCAAGATCATATGCCAAAAGCTGAAATATGTTTTTTGAGCTGTTGTGTCAAAC